ACTACAGCCCTTCCCCCCCCAGTCATCATCTGCTAAACAGTAAATGTCTTACGTGCCAGGCACTACTGTAGGAACTAAGGCTACAGTAGTAAATAAGGAAAAAATCGTGCCTTGGTGGAATGAGGGTAAGTTACTTTTCAGTTAGTCACAGGGGATAAACACAGGGGATAAAAGAGTAATTTAATAGCAGGGGAGGTGGGTGCTTTAGGCTGGGTGTAGGTCTTACTGACCTAGTAAGGCCTTCCACATCTGAATGACAGGAGTCACCATGTGTGGTCTGGAAAGCAGTGCTCTAAGCAAAAGGAACAGCAAGTATTTGAGACCCAGGTAGAAAAAGAATATGCTTTGAGCCCAGTGGCTAAGGATGGAAAGGGAGAGGCCTAGGCAGAGGAGAGGCTGAGCCGGGGGGGGTGGGGTGGGGGGGATGGGCTGGCAGGCAGCTGCTGTTCTGGTCCATTGAGACGCCAGTGCGCCCTTACTGTGGGTGTGGGTGTGCATGTGGTGTGAGTGCGAAGGTGGAAGACAGCCGGTCAGGGCCAGTTCTCTCCTTCCATTATGTGGGCTCCAGACCTCAGACTGAGGAGGTCGGGCTTGGCGGAAGCGCGTTCACCTGTTGAGCCATCTTACCAGCCCTACCAGACTAGAGAGCTTCACGCTTGATATTCCTGTTCAGAGATGGAATGAAAGGGAAGAAGCTGGGCGGAAGTGGCAGAAGGAGAGACGGGAGGTTTGGGTCAGGTGTTGGAACCAGGAGAATTTTGTGGCAGGTTTCATGTGGGAGATGAAGAGAGCAGTGGACGGTGATATCTGGGTTTTGGGCTTAAGTAATAGGAAATATTGGAAGAGGGGCTGGCTTGAGGTGGATTCAAGAATCTCCATAGGCAGCTCTACCCTATAATTGATCTGCAGTGACAAAGGAACATTGGTTCTAATGCCCACTTGTCTTCCTCCTGTCACCTACCACTGCCTCCCCACTTCCTCCTAAGAGCACCTAAAACCATAGCCATGCATCACTCGTCACTGCTCCACAACCCTGCCCTGGCTCCAGCATTTAAATTTTGTGCACAGGTTTACTCAGTAGAAGCAGAGTGACTACAGTTAAAACACAGGGTATTTTTGTGGGTCAGCAAGTAGGTAAAGTAGGTAAAGGTGTCTGCTGCCAAGCCTGATGACTTGAGTGTGATCCTGGGACTCACATGGTGGAAGGAGAGAACCAGCTTGTCCTCTGACCTCCACACAGATACCCTGGCATGTGTGGCCCCTCCTCCTAATAATAAACATGTTATTAAAAATTTAAGTCTTTCTTGTCCTGTTGCTTACTTCTGTAACCTTGAGCAATTACTTTCCCAATTTGCAGTTTCCTCATGTCTTCAGTGACACAAAAAGACTTGTGGTAGGGTGACTGTAACCATTAACTGAGCATTTCTTTCAGGCAGTGCGTTCTTTGTGGATAGTTGACTAGCTTAAGTTTATTCCCTGTACTGAGTGAGGGCAGGGGCATTGCCTGCTCCCTCTTCCAGATCAGGCCAGGCATAAACAGTTAGGCAGCACACTCGTGGTCATGGGCCAGTAATGTAGAAGCTGGATATCAGTCCTGGCAGTGTGGCACCAAACCTGAGTCTGTTTTTTGTGTGTCTTTTAAAGATCACTTGTTGTATGTGTGGGGTGTTTTGTTTGCATGAATGTCTCTACACTACATGCGTGCACTGCCGTAGGGGCCATAAGCAGCCATCATATTCCTGGAACTCAAGATACACATGTTTGTGAGCCGCCGTGTGGGTGTGGGTGTGGGAACTGGACTCAGCTCCTCATGAAGAGCAGACAGTGCTCTGAACCCCTGGGTCATCTCTCTAGGCCCAAAGTCTGGGTTTTACCTAGACTTTTTCCATTATAAGTATCTGGCACCGTTAAGTGTCTCAACTTTAATCTCAGCAGTCAGGAGGGAGAAGTAGGAAGAGCTCTGTAAGTTTGAAGAGCTATCCTGGTAGTGAGTTTCCAGAAAGCCAGGACTGTGTAGAGAGATCCTGTCTCAAAACCAAAAACAGAAAACATTTGGGCCAGGGAGGTAACTCACCTAAGAAGTGCATACAAGGATTTGAGTTTGATCCCAGACAGAGCCAGGCCAAGGGCAGGTGCTGTTACTTCAACAGTGGAGATAAGTGGATTTCTGGGGCTTGCTAGCTAGCCCAACAAGCTTCCTTGATAAGTGCTAAGTCAGTGAGGGACCCAGTCTTAAAGGATGGACATTGACAGAGGCTCAAAAGTTTTCCTCTGGCTTCCACATGCATGGCACATATGACACACAGAATCTAAGCCACAGATAGGGATGTAAAACCGTACAGTGCTTGCTTAGCACACAGGAGACCCCAAGATGAATGACAAGCACTATCCCCACAAAAAAAAAAAACCAAAATTGCCAAAAGTATTAAGATATGATGCTGAGCCTTGCTTCATAATCCATGATCTGTGTTTTGTGTGTGCTTTGCCTGTTGCATATTCTCTTTAGAGTCCTCATGGCAGTGGGCAGGGTTCTGTGTGTGTCTGACCAAGTACTCTCTCCTCAGGTGGACATCTTCAACAAGGAGCTGCTGCTGATCCCCATCCATCTGGAGGTGCACTGGTCACTTATCTCAGTTGACGTGAGGCGACGCACCATCACCTACTTTGACTCACAACGGACACTAAACCGTCGCTGCCCTAAGGTGTGAGGAGGTTGTGGGCAAACAAGTAGTAAAGATGGAGGGAGATCTGGCAGCGAGTCATTTTAAGAACTGTGGGCTGAGTCTGAGGACTGGGTGACTTGAGCACGGTGTTTGCCACCATCATAGTGTGCATTAAGCTGTTAAGTGACGAAGGTATCACTTTCTTTTTCCTTGTCCACATAGCATATTGCAAAGTATCTGCAGGCAGAAGCAGTAAAAAAAGACCGACTGGACTTCCACCACGGCTGGAAAGGTTACTTTAAAATGGTGAGTCTCCAGAGGGGATGGCGTAGTGTGATGGTGAGGGTAGTGGATGAGAGGCGGAAATTGAACGCGTAACCTCCAGGAGGCTACAGATGGACGGATTCTTGTTCTTTCTTTCCTAGAATGTGGCCAGGCAGAATAATGACAGTGATTGTGGAGCCTTTGTGTTACAGGTAAGCAAATGAGTCACCTTAGCACTAGGCTCTGTGGCTAAGGGGTTGCTTTTTGCCTCAGTGAGTTCAGCCAAATTGTACAGCAGGAAATACCCATGTGTTAGAGCACAGAAAGCCTGGATTCTTAGGTTGTCCTTAGGCCTGTGTCCATCTCAGAGTTGGTACTGGTTCTCTGGCTTTAGTCCCAGCATCCTCCTCTCAACTCAATGTATCTTCTCTCACTAGTGCATCAGATATATTAGGTAGGTGTTTGGGGGTTTTTTATTTTTTATGTATTTTTTTCTTTGAGACAGTTTCTATGTTAGACAGCCTTGGCTGTCCTTTTCTCCGTCCTGGTCTCGCTTTGTAGACAAGGCTGGCCTGGAATTCAGAGATCCACTTATCTTTGCCTCCTGGAGTGCTGGGATCACAGGCCACCATGCCTGGCCGTGTGGCACCACCGGCTGTTAGACTCTAAGGCCAGTCTGTATGAGAAATGGGGAGTTTCGGAAAGATCAAGATGTTTTTTGTGTGGAATGTACAGCACAGGTCCTGACTTGGGAGGGATGGTCAGTAAATGGTTCTCATGGCCTGCTTTGTTAATACCCAGTACTGCAAGCACCTGGCCCTGTCTCAGCCATTCAGCTTCACCCAGCAGGACATGCCCAAACTCCGACGGCAGATCTACAAGGAGCTGTGTCACTGCAAACTCACTGTGTGAGCCTCGTTCCCCAGACCCTCAGCCCGTTGATGGGCAGGGACAAGGGAGACCTTCCCCAGAAACTCCAGTTCCTTTTCTCCCGCCCAGTTCCCTTTGGATTTTCATATTTAAATGTTTGGTTTCTGTATTTTGTTTTCTTTGCGAGAATGTTGATTTCTGGTGGGAAGGGAATGGCCACATAAAAGCCCTTTTCTCCCTCTCTAGGGGAATGTTGTTGCCTTGTGGCCTAGGTGGAGCAGCCATTCCTCCTTCCGTGTTGAGGGGCAGGACAATTGGGGGTGGTGGGCGGGCAAAGGGATTACTGCCTGCCAGATCTTCAAACTTTTTTTTATATATAAATATATATAAAAATGCCACGGTCCTGCTCTGGTCAATAAAGGATCCTTTGAAGATACCTCAGTGGTGCTTTTCTTTGAGGAGCCTTAAAATACTGCGTGTATTTCATCTCAGGTCTCCAGCTAGTGCTCGTAGTTAGCCCTTCTCAGGTCTTGAGAGTTCAGACCAGCTTTCTATGCCAGCACTTCATCATACGGACAAATCGTCCAGGGCAGGAGGAGGAGGAACGAAACCTCGAGAATAAGGACGCCTGACAAGCTGCGAGCAGACACTGAAGGAACCCGCAATGGCAGCTTACATCCCTGTGGTACCCTGGAGCCCAGAAATGGGGCCCATCCCTTCTTTTCCTCCAGTCGAGGAAACTTCCTGTCCCGGGACACTGCTACAGTTCCTGCCCTTCTACACTGTGAACACACCAGACTGTTCTCAACGGAAGATTAAAACTTGGGTCCTGTGGAAATCTGTAGGAGAGGCGAAGAAGAGTGGCAGCCCCGAGTTCCCGGAAGTTCCACAGGCTAAGGCCTCGCCCCCGTCGCTTGATAGGACCCGCCGGGCCACGTGACTAGGGCACGATCGCCTCCGCACGTGTAAAGGTGCTGGGCTCCAAGATGGCTGCCCGGCCGCGAGGCCCGACTTCTGTATGTCACTTCCGTACCAGCGAGAAGGGCGGGCGCATCAGCCAATGAGGCCGCGGGGCGGGCGTCGGCCTTGATAGGCATTCAAACTACCCAATAGGGCGTGCGGGCTGGGGCGCCTACAAAGTCACGTCACGTGGGGTTGCAGAGCGCCGGCAGGCGGGGCGGAGGCAGCCAAGCCAATGCGATGGCTGGGGCGGGGTCGGGCGCTCTATAAGTGGTCGATAGGCGGGCGCTCCGCCCTAGACTCTAAGGATCATGTCTGCGAGCCAGGATTCTCGGTAAGGAAGGCCTTTGCACGGCCCTGCCTCCTCCCCCCGCCGCTCCCTCCCGCCGCTCTCGCCGGGGGCGGGCGGGCGGCCCGGCGCCCCGAGCCTGCCCGGTGTCGGGGAGGCCAGCCGGAGGGCGGGGGCCGGGGAGGCTCCTGGGCCGGCGCGGAGACGGGAAGGACGGTGGCCGGGGCGGGGGCGCGAGGCTGCTCGAGGCCGCGGCGCGAGGGCGCGCCCCGGCGTGGGAGGGAGGAGAGGCGGCCGCAGCCGGCTGCTCTGGGCCCTCCGCGAGGCGGGCAGCGCGCGGGCGTTCCGGAGCCTTCTGGCGCTCCCATCGCGGCGGGCAGGGGTGCCCGGGTCCTCCACGGCCGCCGGGCGCGCGGGACGGGGCGGGGGAGGAAGCCGGCCGTTCAGGGTGCTGGTTTTCTTGACGGCCAGGACTGAGCCTGACCCGGAGCAGCGGCCGCGTGAGGCGCCGGGAGCCCACCCGGCGCCGGGCGGGCGGGTCCGTTTTGCCGCCCGAGCCGGGCAGTGGGCAAACTGCGGATGGGCAGGTCCACTTTCCTTCGGGGGTGAGCGACCTGAGGTATGGGAGGGCGACGCCATTGCTCGACGGGGCGGGCGGGGTGCGGATGGCTCCGTGGCGGGGCAGACGCCGCCGAGCGGCGGAGCGAGCGAGCACATGGCCGCTTGAGAGGCCCCCCTCCCCCAGTCTGCTTGGCCTGTCTGGGTTGTGCAATCTCTCCCCTTGCTAGCGCGGCTGGGGTTCATTGTGCGCGAGGCCGCCACCGCCCGCGGCCTCCCACATCCGGGTACTGCGGACGGGAGGGGGGCCGGCCGGAGGGAGTGGGGGAGGGCGCGGGCGGCATGACGTGGGGGAAGGGGACGGCCCACCCTCGGAACTCGGAGGGGGAGGCGGGACTTCCGGTGGCCTCGGTGCGCCGGAGGGCGGCGCTCGCGCTCGGGGCCGCCGGGCCGGGCCGCGGAGACCGCGTCTGGCGTCGCGTGTTGCAGGCGCACCTTCGCAGCCCCTCCGTCTGAGGGGACGGCTGCCAGGTGCCTCGCCGTGGCCCTGTGGGAACACACGGAGCTGGATCGGGAGTGGGCAGGCTGCTTCCGTGCTCTACCCAAGCAGGAAGCAAAAGTGATGCTTTGAACCAACAGATCCAGGGACAATGGCCCCGACGGGATGGAGCCTGAAGGCGTCATCGAGGTGAGGCTGGCGCCCGCTCTCTGCTCTGCTGTGTGTAAAGTGAACAGGCCCCTCGCATTGACCGCAGAAATCTAGAATGGCGGCAGCCCTGGGGGTGGGGACTGTGCAGCCGCGTAGACACCTTACTAGCTCGGAAGCTGTGATGTGTGTTTCTGTCCTGCAGAGTAACTGGAATGAGATCGTGGATAGCTTCGATGACATGAACCTCTCAGAATCCCTCCTCCGTGGTATTTATGCCTATGGTTTTGAGAAGCCCTCTGCCATCCAGCAGCGAGCTATTCTTCCTTGTATCAAGGGTAAGTCTCACACTCCAGACAGACGTGGACTGCCAAGGTGTGGAGTTTGTGGACGCAGCAACAGAAGGAAACAGTTTTTATTTCGGCTTAATTCATACTGGTCATGCCTTGGACATGGGGTTTTGGGTGTTATGTGTCTGGCCTGATGAGTTGTGTGAGTTCATAATGCTCTGGTGCTCTGGACCTTGTCACAATACTGTGGGACAAAAGGTTGTGGAGGCCCTGACACTTTGTTTTTGCAACCTTGTTTCTTGGCCTGGTGGTGCTGGTCCATGATTTGTGTGGGGGCAGTTCTCGGAATTCAGGGTCAGCCTGTTCTACAGAATGAGTTTCAGGACAGCCAGGGCTACGCAGAAACCCTGTTACAGGAGAACAGTCTAGTTTCTCTACTGATGTCATGAAGGCCCTGAATGTCTGATGAGCCAGGCTGCACAACTTAACGTCTTAACTCTTGTTCTGTTGCAGGTTATGACGTGATTGCTCAAGCCCAGTCTGGGACTGGGAAAACGGCTACATTTGCCATATCAATCCTGCAACAGATTGAGTTAGACCTAAAGGCCACTCAGGCTTTGGTTCTGGCGCCCACTCGTGAATTGGCTCAGCAGGTAAGAACGCCTTCAGTTCCCTCTGAAATGACTGGTTTAAGAATGACAACAGCTGGTTGTTAGCACGTGCCTTTCATCAAAGGGAGGCAGAGGCAGGCAGATGATCTATGGGTTTGAAGCCAGCCTGGTCTACAAACCTAGATCCAGGACAGCCTGTACTATACGGAGAAGCCCTGTCTCAGAAAAAAGACAACAAACAGTTGCAAGTTCGGGTGTAGCCTCTGCTGCTGGGTCTTACTGGTGGCTTCTAGAGCTACAGTATTGTTGGCCTGATTGTCAGCCTCTCTACCAGCAAAACCACTTCCTTTGCCCATTTCCTGAACCAAATGGGAAGAGAAGGCTGTTGGGAGTCCAGTTGGCTGGCAGGTAGCTGCTTCACGAAGAAACCCCCTGGCAATGGGCAAAGAGACACCTTGGTGGTGGTGTTGATCTTATATCAGTCAGGGGCAGAGCAGACGGCAGTCCTTTGTTCATCCTAGCTTGATGCCTGTCCTGGTGGCCAGAGCTGCTTCATGCCTAGGGCACATAAGAGCCTGGTGCTAGTCTGTTTCTGATTCGGACCTAGCTGAGTATTGGGAAGCAGTCTGCTTACTAATAATGTACATAGGAAATGAAATGAGCGCAGGAAGAGCCTTGTGTTTGTCACCAAGGTTGGGTTTTGTTGCATGTGGGCCAGGAGTTGTAGCTCAGTGAAACGCTCAGCAGCACGCACGCAGTCTGCAGTCTTGCGTTCTGTGGTAGGGCTGCCGTAAGTGAACGTTGGAGTGCGCTGGCAAGGTGAAGAGCGTGGGTTCGAAGCTGTGAGCTGGCCTGGTATTGGAAGCAGGGTGGATCCTGGGGCTGCCGATTGTGGTGGTGGGGTTGAGCGGACGTGTGCCTGGGAGTAAGAGCTGCCTGGTGCAGGCCAAGCTGATGAAGCTGCCTCTCTGTTCAGATACAAAAGGTGGTCATGGCGTTAGGAGACTACATGGGCGCCTCTTGTCATGCCTGCATTGGGGGCACCAATGTGCGCGCTGAGGTGCAGAAGCTGCAAATGGAGGCTCCCCATATCATCGTGGGCACCCCTGGCCGGGTGTTCGACATGCTTAACCGGAGATACCTGTGTAAGTACCCCGTGGCCCGCGCCGGGGCACGTCCCCAGGTCTCGTTTGCTTGGCTCTTGTGTTCCGCCTGGAATGGATGCTCTGTGATGAACCCCATGCGTGTCATCTGAGCCTGGCTCCCTGTTGCCGTAGCCCGGGAGTGTTCTACTCACCGGGGCTTGTTTCTGGCCTGGCAGGGAGGCCTTGGGCAAAGGATCAGTCCTTGTATTCTGAGAGCAGACTGCCTGCCTCTTTCTTGCTGCTCTCTTAGCAAGAGACTTAAGTGTGTTTACCGTTTCTCTGATTACGTATGTGTTGGTGTCTCTTCTGCTTTCTAGCCCCCAAATACATCAAGATGTTTGTGCTGGATGAAGCAGATGAAATGTTAAGCCGTGGGTTCAAGGACCAGATCTATGATATATTCCAAAAGCTTAACAGTAACACACAGGTAAGAAGCTGCAGTCTGTGTAGGCACCGCGCGTGGCTGGGATGTGTATGCCGGCTTCATCGTGGCTGGTCATTTTTCTCACTAGGTAGTTTTGTTGTCTGCTACAATGCCTTCTGATGTCCTTGAGGTGACCAAGAAGTTCATGAGAGACCCCATTCGGATTCTTGTCAAGAAGGAAGAGCTGACTCTGGAGGGTATCCGCCAGTTCTACATCAATGTGGAACGAGAGGTGGGGCCCCGTGCAGGAGGCGGGCCTGGTAGTAGGTTGTTGGGTATAGCCCCTGACGGATGTTTCCGGGTCTTCAGGAGTGGAAGCTCGACACGCTGTGCGACTTGTATGAGACGCTCACCATCACCCAGGCGGTAATCTTCATCAACACCAGAAGGAAGGTGGACTGGCTCACTGAGAAGATGCATGCCAGGGATTTCACTGTGTCTGCCATGGTGAGTTTTTAAAACCCTGTGACTAGCGTGCCTGTGGTGTGGCAAAGCTGCATCACCAGAAGCCAGGTGCTACCTTGCTCACATCCTTGTTTCCTAGCATGGAGATATGGACCAAAAAGAACGAGATGTGATCATGAGAGAGTTCCGGTCTGGTTCCAGCAGAGTATTAATTACCACTGACCTGTTGGTGAGTAGATGCTGTTCAGGGAAAGGAAGAAAAAGTCCAAGGTGATTCCCTCTCCAAGGGGCTAGCTGTGCCCTTTTCAGGAACGTAGCAACTTGGAAGAAAACCAGGCATGCCTGAGGTCTCTGGTGAACAAGTGCACTTGTTTCCTTTGCCTTCCTTTGGCTGCCAACATGGATGCCTAGTTATTCGGGGGGAAAAGATGGCATGCTCTGACAGAATGCTGTCTGTCTTGACCCAGGCCCGTGGCATCGATGTGCAGCAGGTCTCCTTAGTCATCAACTACGACCTTCCCACCAACCGGGAGAACTACATCCACAGGTAAGTTAGTCTGAGACACCCTGTGCCGGAAAGAACCCAGGTGTCTCCTCCTTTCCTAATAAACCCTTTCACCTTCAGAATTGGTCGAGGCGGCCGGTTCGGCCGTAAGGGTGTGGCTATTAACATGGTGACAGAGGAAGACAAGAGGACCCTTCGAGACATCGAGACTTTCTACAACACCTCCATTGAAGAGATGCCCCTCAATGTTGCTGACCTCATTTGAGGGGCTGGCCTGCAACCTGGCACTAGCCAGGATTCAGTCCTGGGGGGCTGAGGAACAGCTGGAGGGGGGGGGAAGGGAGCCAAGGGATGGACATCTTGTTTTTGTTTTTTGTTTTTTCTCTCTCTCTCTTTGAATAAATGTCACTTTTTGAGGCAAAAAGGAGCCGTTGAACATTTTAGACACCCTTTTCTTTGGGGTAGGCTCTGCCCCAGGCGCCGTCTCCCCTTCCCCCCCAAAACACTAAACCATTTCCCTTAACCCAGTCACCTGATTCTAAAGGGTTTCCTACCCCAGCCCAGTGAGTCAAGGGGCTAAAACATGTCTGGCCTCATCTGCTGGACCAAATCTACAGGGAGAAGCCCTGAATGAGGTGGTCCAGGGAATTGTCCCCAGGTTAGGGGCCAGGGGAGAGAAAGTGGTAGCCATTTTTACATTGTTTTGTATAGTATTTATTGATTCAGGAAACAAACACAAAAATTCTGAATAAAATTACTTGGAAACTGCCTGTTTGGGCTTCTTGTTTCTTCCCTTCCCACCTGCTACTTGTCAGGTAGCTTCCCCAGACGACTGTACTGCTTTATTGCTGGCTTCACTATGTTGCGTGCTTAAGAAATTTAAGAAAGGTCATAGAATGTTCATCCCACATGCTTCCAGCTCTGAGGAAGTAATAGCCTCAGTTTCGGGTTCAGGCCTAACTCAGACTTTGGTGCTAACTGCCCATCTCAGCTGTTTTTTAGGTTTCTGTCGAGTACTGGTGGGCACGGGTGGGGTTGGATTTCTGGCCCTTGAAAAAAGGGCCCTCTCTTCTCCCTTGTAACTTGCCAAGCAGAGCAAGTTCTGCTTAGGTAAGTTCCCTGTGAGTCAGCTGCTTCATCCTCATGTGGTAAGGAAGCCTGTTGCTTCCCACTCAGGGGCCGCTGCCAATCACAGCTTAAAGTTGTGAAAACCAGTGACTAAAATGGGCGGCCGACACGGAGGTGTCTGAGTCAGGGTTGGGGTGGGATTATCTTAGTTAAGGGAAGTAAGACTTTCATTTCCTCTTCAAGTGGAGGCAGAGGGGATTGGGTTGAGGAAGGACCTAGAGCAGCCAGCAGGACTCTGCGGCTCTACCATGCGGCTCCCTGTGTGGTGTTTGATCTCGGTGGGACTGCTTGTAGGTAAGGAGAAGTGGGAGGACTGCTTGTAGGCAAGGAGAAGTGGGGGGGGGTGAGGGAGAGCAGGGAGGACCTTGTACCTGGGTGCCAACCAATTTCTTGCCGAAAGCCCAAGGAGCAGAGAAAGACTGTCCTCACAGAAGAAAAGCCGCCACTCTGCTGCCATCCTTCACCCTGACACCTACAGCTACAGAAAGCACGGCAGGCCCAACCACCAGCCACAGGCCCACCACCACCAGCCACAGAAATGTCACAGTTCATCCAACAAGTAACAGCACAACCAATTCCGGACCCACAACTGCTACTCACAACCCTGCCACCACCACTACTCATGGGAACACCACAGTTCATCCCATCACAAATGGCACCGAGGCAACTCCAGGGGTCTCCACCACCGGCCCCCATCCTGGCCCACCTCCACCGACGCCAAGTCCAAGCCCTGGCTCCAAGGAGGCTCTTGGGAACTACACATGGACTAATCACTCCCACCCTTGTGTTCAGCTCCAGGCCCAGATTCAGATTCGAATCCTGTACCCAACCCAGAGTGGAGGAAAGGTAAAACTAACTTGGGGCTTAGAGAGGGCAAGAGGTAAGGCCCATCCACTAGCTTCCAACCCACTATTCTTTGACTTATGCAGGCCTGGGGGATGTCTGTCTTGAATCCCAACAAAACCAAGGTCCTGGGGGGCTGTGACGGGGCCTCTCCCCACCTGCCTCTCTCATTTCCGTATGGACAGCTCACCTTTGGATTCAAACAGGTATGTGGTTACTCCCGTACTCCATGCCTACACCCCCGAGCCTCCCTCCTTGCTCTGTGGACATCATGCCACTGCCCCTGCTGCCGAGCCTTTCTGTTCACCTCCAGGACCTGCAGCAGAGCCAGGGAGTAGTCTATCTCAGCTACATGGCAGTGGAATACAACGTGTCCTTCCCACGGGCCTCGCGTGAGTAGCCCTTCTCCTTACCAGCAGATGTCCCTTGGGAGGGATGACTCAGGAGCTAGGTGGATTTGACTGGATTTGACTCTTTTCCAACGTCTTCAGAGTGGACATTCTCAGCTCAGAATTTATCTCTCCGAGTGCTCCAAGCTCCCCTGGGCCAAAGCTTCTGCTGCAGAAATGCAAGCATAGCTGTTTCTCCGGCTGTTCACCTGGACCTGCTCTCCCTGAGGATACAGGCTGCTCAGCTGCCCGACTCAGGCCACTTTGGGCCATGTAAGCCCTCCCTGCCCTCTTCCTTCTGGGAAGTCTCCCACTGCTCTCTTTTTAAACCTGTCTCCTCTCTTAGGTGTCTATTCCCCTTACTTGCTGCTCTGAACTATGGGGTTGAACCCAACTTCTGCCATCTGCCTTCTTCCATCCTCCCTGCAGCAATCCCAACAGTCCCCACTCTCCTGCCAGGTTTCTCTTGCGCTGGTGACCAGTCCCTTTGGCTGCCTCTCATCATTGGCCTGGTTCTCCTTGGCCTCCTCACCCTGGTGCTCATTGCCTTCTGCATTACCCGGAGTCGACAATCCACCTACCAGCCCCTCTGAGCATTTACTCTGACCTGCTCTGTGGGCCACCAAGAAGCACCCTCATTTCTTCAACATGCAACCAACTCAACAAAGTTATCTTCCTTTCCTGTCTTTAAGAAGAAAACTAGAGATTTGATAATAAGAGGGCTAGTTAATAAAGATGAACGGGCCCTACTCCCTTGCTCATGAAAACTTAATGAACTCTTTGACTTTGGCTTCCCTTGTCCTGCCAGGATTAAAAGGCACGAGATTTTTGTCATGTGCTTTGTTGTGCCTTCCCACGGTTGAGTCACCAAGAGACAGCTGGCAAGAAGGGATAATACCAGGGTAACCAAAAACCTTCATGGCTTCATCCCTCAACGTCCAGCACAGCTGTTGGCAGAGCTGCCAGAACTCCCTCCTCCCTTCTGGGCCAGCGGCTGCCTAGTCCCTTAGCATCACAGATCTGCCCATCCTGGCATCTGGTTCCCAACCCTCTGTGCAGCTGAAGGTACAACACAACCAAAATATGAGTAGGTGGCTGTGTGATTTCATTCCAAAAGGGGTACAGTAGGTACAGTACCAGTGGCTACAGAGCAATGAGATTCCTCGTCCATGTGGCCAGGGCTGAATATATTGAAGATCTCACTGCAAAGCTGGAGCAGTGGGTATACTCTGCCTTCTCTGAAGGCTGTGCTGCTAGGAACAGCTTCAGGCCCAGCAAACATACCTTAAAATTTTAATTCTTGGTGTTTTCAAGACATGGTTTCTGTTTTAGCCCTGGCTAGCCTCTGCCTCCTGAGTGCTGGGATTAAAGGCGTGTGCTCCAGATGGCTACCCACTGTACCAAATAAATTCTGCTTAGAGCAGGGCATGGTGCAGTGTGCCTGAGCCCAGGACGGGTGCGCCCTATGAGGTTACAGAAATCTCGGCGGTCCACACCGCTGAGGGGTACACGTGGGAGCAGCTCCTGCCCAGCACCCACCCCTTCCCCCCAAGAACAAGGAGTCGGGAGTCAATTTGGGAGTCCCTTGTAGCTTGCTAGGCAAACATCCCTTGGACAGTGCAGAGTCCCTGGGCGGTGGAATGCAGTGGGGACCCTCTGCAGACAGAGACACTGGGCGGCTCCGCCACCGCCCCCTGGACGGTCCCAAGACACAGCAGACGCTGCAGTCTGCGTTCCCGCCGCCGAGCTCCCTCCTTCACTGTCATCTTCCGACAGCTGGATGAAGCAGAGAAGGAAGGGTGCCAGCACGGCCTCTCCCGCGCCATTCCCGCTGGAGAAATGGGGAGGAAAAGACAGGAGAGCCCCACTAGCGCCATTTTGGAGACTCGTCCTCTCTTCCTCCCCAACTTCACACCACAGAAAGTTGGCTGAGAGCAGACAAGATGGCGCAGATGCCGGAGGGACGGGGAAAGGGAGGCATGAGCCTTGCCGGCGGAACCGACCGCGTGAACAAAAGCACGGGATCGTTCTAACTGTGCCGACGTAGCGCTCCCACACGCTTTGAAATTCCAACTTCGGGGCGTACCAAGCCAGCCGAGAGGGAGGCCTGGGGTGACGGAGGCTCGCGGGGCCGGACAGACAGGGCGGCGCGGCGCGGCGCGGGCGGCCCGCGCATGCGCGGCGGCGCTCAATGGCCGGCCCGCGGGGCCTGGCGGAAGCTCGCTTTCCAACATGGCGGGCGAGGCGGCCGGGCCGTTCAGGAGCGTGCTGGTGCCGCTTCTTTTACCTGAGAAGTGCTACGACCAGCTGTTCCTCCAGTGGGACTTGCTTCACGGTGAGTTCTGTCGTCCTTCCGAGTCGGGTCCCAGCAGCCCTGGGCCGTGGGGGGCCCTGAGTGGCGCCTAGGCGACGGCGGGGCTAAGGTCACGCGAAGCTGGGCGGAAGGCGCGTGTGAACAGGGCGGAAGTGTTCGGCCCTGACCAGGAGGGTGCCATATTTGGGTACGAGGGGGAGTCGCCCGTCGAGATGCTTGAATTTGTGTTGTACCATCTCGGAAGCCCGTGCCACAACCCCACCCCTTCTGGGCAGGGGCTCGAACTCGGGGCCTCATGCGTGCAAGGCACTCACTCACCTTATCCGAGCTCTATCCCCAGCCTGGAAATCGCATTTTATGAAGAAACGCCAGGCGTTTAAACCTCCTTTCTTCCCACACACTGACAGAGGGAGACAAGCTGGTCTTCTGCCTCCGCCGCCAGAGTGCTGGGAATACAGGGAAGAGCTATCTCATTCCACTGCCTGCCTTCCCTTCTTTGCGAGGCTTACGTCCGCTACCAGAGCCTTTACTGAGCCTTCCACCTCTCTACCCAGAGAACGCTGTTGTGGTGAATTTTGGCGTGAAAGAGTCAGACTCCCCACTGGGCCAAACTCCCAGGTCAAAGATTCAGTGATAGAGAAATTGCCTGGAATCACAACTTTAATCCCAGCACTGGGGAGGCAGGGGCAGGAGGATCTCTTGAGTTCACGGACAGCTGAGACTACAGGGTGAATTCCAAGATAGCCAGGGCTCCACAGAAAAGGTTTTTGAAAACAAACAAAATAATAAATACGATAATAATGCTTAAGTAATTAATAAATAAGTGATAAAGATATTAGATGAACAGGGCTAAAAGCCCAGGAAGAGTAGGGTTGGCCCCTGCAAAAGGGCTGGGAACAACCAAAAAGTTCAGGAACACATGTGCAGGGGTTTGTCTGTGGAGGAGACCATTTGAAGCGGGTCATGCAGTTACTGAGAAGAGAGAGAGAGAGAAGGGTCAGGACTCTTGGGCGGTGCCTGAGGAACGGAAAAGCTAACTTCATCCCTGCTTAACCCAGGACCCACACAGTGGAAGGAGAACCACTCCACAGCTTCC